AGAAAAAAATAGTGGTTGTAGAATCTGATGACAGCTAGTGTTTCAATAAGGAATCTGACTGCGGTCTTTATTGTTTGTTGCAGATCCCAGAAGTGAGAAAAGGTTGTTTCTTCTCAACCTAAACATCTATGTTCCTAGAGATGAACGGTTTGGCCCAGTCAAGTTTTCAGATTTTTTGGCCTATGCTTTGAAATCTATTTTTCCAGTATTGTTTCAGATCCTTCCAGAGATCAAATCTCCATGTCACTTAACTACCAATGAGTTTGAAACCTTTGAAGATGTTCTTAATATCTATAAAGGGTTTGTTAAACTACCAAACGGTCCTACACAGGCTAAAATTAGACACCTTATCCCTTGGGAACTTCTTAGAGAACTTACTCGCAATGATGGTGAGCGATTTCTCAAATTGCCTATGCCTGATGTCATCAAAGGTACACACTAATGTTTTCCCATTTTTGCCAATGGCCTTGTAATTGAGTAGCATATAAACTTTCCTATAAGTGGGAGGTCACAAGTTCAATCCCGCTTGTAATCTCAGGCTATTAGTGCCTACTCCTCTGATTAAAAAAGAAGAAGGAGATTTCCCATTTTTCATTTGGGATTTGGATGGACTGAGTAATGAGTATTATGCAATTTTAACCTCACATTGATTGCAGAGGACAAGACTGCTTGGAGAACAGATGAAGAATTTGCAAGAGAAATGCTTGCTGGGGTTAACCCCGTCGTCATCCAATGCCTACAAGTATTTTAAAATGATAGCTTTATTTAATACTTTGGAGGTTTTGTGTTTAGCAAGGAAAGATAACATTATTTGTTATACTTAATCTATAAAGATGAGAGTGTATTTCTAATTTGTTTCCCTAAAAATTTACTTTAATATTAATGGCATGTGTAGATTTTCCCACCAATCAGCAAGCTTGACCCTGAAGTCTTTGGGAATCAAAATAGCTCCATCACAGCAAGGCACATAGAATATAATTTGGATGGACTAACAGTAGAAGAGGTACCAATATCAGGCTTCATTTTGTTACTTGAATATAGTTGCATCAGATCAAACAGCTAACATGCTTATATTTTTTTTGTGTTAGGCACTTGAAAACAAGAAGCTATTTATATTGGATCATCATGACGCTTTGATGCCATACCTGAGTCGAATAAACTCTACTGACACCAAGACTTATGCTACTAGGACTTTGTTGTTTCTTCAAGATGATGGCACATTGAAGCCATTGGCCATTGAACTAAGCTTGCCCCATCCTCAAGGGTATCATCATGGTGCTACTAGCAAAATTTTTATTCCAGCACAAGAAGGTGTTGCGAGTTCAGTGTGGCAGCTAGCCAAAGCTTATGTAGCAGTGAATGATTCTGGATACCATCAGCTTATTAGTCACTGGTATGATGTGTGCATAAATAATATCAATGTTAGAAGAGAATATTTAAACTTGTTTGTGTTTCTGGTCTAAAAACGAGTGACCAAAAAGCTAGGACTCACTTGCAGGTTATGCAGTCATGCAACCATAGAACCATTCATAATAGCTACAAACAGGCAGTTGAGTGTCCTTCACCCAATATATAAACTCTTGCAGCCCCACTTCAAGGACACAATGTTCATAAATGCATTGGCTCGCCAAATCCTCATCAACGCTGGAGGGATACTTGAAAGAACAGTTTTCCCAGGTGAATTTGCCATGGAAATGTCATCAGCTGTTTATAAAAACTGGGTTTTCACTGATCAGGCACTACCTGCTGATCTACTCAAGAGGTGAATGTAAAGAAAAACTTAATAGGGAAAATGATTTCCACTGGTTTCATTTGAATAAATAAAAACAAACTGTAACTCTCTTTTGCTGCATTTTAGGGGAATGGCAGTTCCAGATTCAAGGTGCCCTCATGGACTTAGACTTGTGATAGAGGACTACCCTTATGCTGTGGATGGACTAGAAATCTGGGATGCAATTGAAACATGGGTGAGAGACTATTGCTACTTATATTACCAATCTGATGACATGGTTCAAAATGACAATGAGCTTCAATCATGGTGGGATGAAATACTCAACAAGGGTCATGGTGACTTGAAAGACAAGAAACGTTGGCCAAAGATGAAAACTAGAGCTGAGCTCATTCAATCATGCTCCATTATCATCTGGGTGGCTTCTGCCTTCCACGCAGCCATGAATTTCGGGCAATATCCGTATGCAGGTTACCTCCCTAACCGTCCTACGATAAGCCGTAGATTCATGCCTGAGCTAGGAACTCCTGAGTATGCAGAGCTAGAGTCAAATCCTGACTTGGCATTTTTACAAACAATCACAGCGCAATTTCAGACCCTCCTTGGTGTGTCACTGATAGAGATTTTGTCCAGGCACTCAACTGATGAGGTTTATCTTGGACAGAGAGATTCTCCTTACTGGACTTCAGATTCTGAACCTCTTGTTGCATTTGAAAAATTTAGGCAGAGATTGATTGAAATTGAGAAGAGAATAATGGAAATGAATGGAGACAAAAGGTTCAAGAATAGAATTGGGACTGTGAATGTGCCTTATACATTGCTCTATCCAAACACATCAGATTATTCTAGAGAGGGTGGACTTACAGGAAAGGGAATCCCCAACAGCATATCAATCTAGAAATGTTGGTTTTCTATTCTCTCAAATAAAACTATAGTAGCTGCATAATATTAGGTTGATGAGAAATAACTGATGAGATGTGATTGTGTATAATTCTTCTCTATTGTAGTATTAAATGAAGAACTTTAGTTAAGAGATTCACGATTGAAGAAATTTGCTTCTTCTTTTTTTTTTTTAAAAAAAAAAAAAAGATAGTCCTTGGGATTTTTTTTTTTAAAATTCATTAGAGGGTTTTGAATCTTCACTGATATTTTCATTTCATTCACGCTATTTAATTTAAGTTATCCCCGTTGGCTTTTTTAGAAAAGTTTAGGGGAAATTAATAAATTAAGATAAATAAACAAGACTAACGTAGAATAATAACACGAGGTATAAAAAATATATGAAATCACTGAATTATAAATGGGGCAACTTTTTCAAGAATTGTGCAATTTTGTTATGCTTTTATTCTTTTCACATATATCAATTGGTTTTCTGTACTTTTACTTTTATTTGTTATTAGTTTCTTTAAGCATCTCAATATAATATTATTTTAAATTAAGGATATATTTTATTGTATGATCCTTTTAAAAGGGGAAAAAACCTTTGACTTTTCATTCAATTACTTAAATCACAGGTGGGGTTACTTACTCAATCAACTTTAAAATAATTTTGTAATTCACAATATTTTAATAGAAAGACACACACTGCAGTAGATTTATCTATATATATTTTGATTACATTTTATTTTTAGCACCTGTAATTTTTTTTTTTGTTTGGTTATTCCCAATCTCTTTTGGTTTATCACCTTCCAATATCAATCTTCATTGTTTTAAAAATGCACATAAAGACTATGACTATAGAGTTGAAAATATAGGTTAACTAAAACCATATGGATTGGGTTTAACTCATGTTTATATGGGTTGAAAAAATCCTAACGCAATTCTCGTAAGTTAAATGAGTCAACTTATTAATCCATTTATCTATATTTTTTTAAATTACAACTAAATAAGAAGTTCTAATATGATAATCCATGAAATTTAAAAAATTTACATCATAAATGTATGAGATTTGTCAATTTCATCATAGTTTATTCCAAAATTTGCTTGTTTTGTGGGATTTCATTGCCAAAACTCCCTCAATTTTTAAAATTTCAATTTTCTTTTATTTTTTATAAATAATGAGTTAAATGGATCAACTTTGACTTATCAAGATTAGTTTGTTTGATTCACGAGTTATCTGATTCAACCTAAAGAAGATCCATTTCTATATGGGTTATTTTTTTCAATCCAACTCTACCCTATAACAAAGTTAAATATCATATAACTTGACCTACATTCCCAACTTCAACTATGGGTTGGCATTTTATTAATTTATTTATTTGAAGAATTACATTTAGATTCCTACAAGATAGTTAAATACCATAAAATCTATTAACAATTGAGCATAATAAAAGTTAATCATGAAGCTTACCTGAATTTTAGTAAAATTATAAAGTCCAACTCACCTAAAGTTAGGATACAAGAGCTAGTTGAAGTGAGTTTATATCTAAATATGAGGTTGTATTGTCAAACAAGCTTCTCCTATCGCAATTGAAGTTTAGACGAGGTTAACCAAGGTTTGGTGCTTCTAGAATCGAACCAAATGTTAAACCAGAAAGGCTAGCAATTTGTGGTATATGTGGTCTAACTAATTGGATCAACAGTCAAACTAATAACATAATGATTAAATTAAAAAAATTATAAGTGCATATAATAATATAAATATAAGAAAAAATAAAATTGCTCCATAAATTGAAAATATGAAAATTGGGCCATTGAATTCAACCACTCAAGTTCACAATTTTTAAACAGTTCGTAGTTTTTTTAACTATTTATCAAAAGCAGTCCAATAATTAAAATGGCTAGATGGTTTAAATCGAATCATTAAAGTGATTGACGAGTGGTCCAATCAATTAGACCATCCAACCTGATCTAGTTTTTAAATCATTGTTTGGCAGTAAGCCAAACATGTCCTAAATAACTATAAGAAGAATAGTTCAAAAACAAATGTATGGGAGGGTTTGAACTTTTAATCTCTTCCAAGACCCCTCCCCAACCCTTCGCACCTTGAACTTAAAATGAATGTATTTACTTATAGCCTACCAAAAAAATTATTTAATTATAAACTAACTTGCCAAATCTTTAAGCACACGCATATAATTTTCTCATGGCTTTCAAATGTATGATTTAAAAAACTTTGTCCACTATAAATTAAGAGCTTCCTGACCTACAAACTCCAAACACCGTGTTCTTTACCTCATTATATCCTCAAAACCTTGGACCATTTAGTAGAAGTTTATCATGTACAACACTTATAAAATAACCACAGAACAATTCAATGAAATGTGCATGCTAGTACAAAGTAAATTCTATTTATTTATTTATTTCACATTCTTTTACAACATCCACATGACTTGAAATGATAAATATACATTGGGTGGCTTGCCCTTTACATTGTCAGTGCCATTATTTTTAATATATATATATATATATATATGTTCCTGGCTGATCTAGTAAAGTGGAATACACATTGTATTGTACAATATTGGGCCTAAGCTCCAATTGCTGTAGTGGCCAGAATTGTATCCAATTCGCTTTTGGTACGTTGGATTCTTTTATGCTCTCCATCATTTCTGCTTGTCCAAATTTCTGGAACCGCTTGTGTTAGTTTATGCACACTCTCCACTACATAATCTGCTCCTTCGCATTTCATGCTCTTCCCAACCTTCATTAGCAAGTCAAAGTATTAATTAGTAACAGATGTTATGAATTAAATAAAGATTATACAAATTAATTACTTGATTATTAAGTAAGTGATGGGAAATTACCAAAACTGTGTGGAGACCCATTGCTTTTCCCGCTGCCACATTGCGAACGTTGTCATCTAGGAATAGCTGCAATCAATACACAAAAAAAGAAAAAAATTCAATTTCACAACCCTAACCAAAAGATAATTCACTTGTAGAGAGAGTCATCTCCATTTAGCAAGCAATGAGCATAACGAGATCAAAAACTCAAATTCCATTTGGACAGCCTAAATTTATTGATTAATTTGTGCTTTTTTAATTGATAAATTTATGTTTATATTATTTTTATTTTAAATTTTATGTTTATTAAAATTCAGGCCGGGTTTATCTTATTAAATCAGGCTTTTATCAGCTCATATAGCCTTAAAAGAAAAATTTCTAAACCTAAAATTTTTGAGTTTATTTGAATTGATCCATTGAATTTGATTCAAATTATCGAGTCTAATTATATTGAACAATCTAGAATTCTAGATTGATAACGAGGATGCTAGGACATGCATGAGCTTACCGTACGACGAGGATCAACGTTAGCTGCGTTGAGGGCGATCTTCATGGCATCCGGTGATGGCTTCAAAAGGATCGGGTACTCATCGGGTCGAGTTGACTCCGGGAGGTGCGGGTTCATGGTCTCAAAACATATGATCTGCTCAAAGCAGTCACTTATCCCGAGTCGATCCAACGCCTTCAGCGCATGAATCCTATCTGAATTCGTGAAAATCTGCACAAAGTACAATATTGATGATATTTTACTTGCACAAGTGTTTGAATTTTTTTTTCTTGAAATAATCTATATTTTAAAATAAAAATAATAAAAGTGTAGTACAAATTAAGGATATTTTTTAAAAATAATTTATTAATTACTATCTTAAAAGATCAAAATACTTTAAAAAATGACTTAGAATATCAAAGGGAAGAAATTAGAATAGTTTATATCTATATATAAAAAAAATTCATAAAAAGCTGCGCCATTTATACACGATAAACATTGCCACTCATTTTTTTTGGGGCCAGAAATAATATTATATCAATATTTGATAAAACATTCCCACTCACCGTAAATGGATATGATACATACGACCAAACGCTTATTCTAGAACAGTATAAAACTAAAAATGTTAATTTTGAATTTAAATAAAGGTAGTTTATTATAATCGAAAAGAGAAAATGAAACATATTATTTGAAAATTAATATGATTGAAAAGGATAAGAGTAATAAAGTTGAGCATAAAAATACAACAACTATTACATTCAAAAATATATCTTCATATATTTTATACTCCCTCTATTAAAAAATAGAAGATATTTTTAAAGAGTTAAATGTTAAAAAATGTAAAGTATTTTTAATCTTTTAAGATATAATCATTACTTTTTTTAAAAGTGTCCCTATTAATAATGATTTTATATTTATTGTGGAGTGTTTAATAGGAGTAAATATAAAAAGATAGGATTAGTTTAAAAATAAATAATTATTTTATTAAATAATAAAATTCAATCAAAAATTTTTTATGTTTTTAAACAGAGAGAATATTTGATTACTTTCTTTTGTTTTTGGTAGCGTGAGAAATAGAATCTGCCCACTAGTATAAAAAAAAAAAAAAAAAAGACTCCGCCCACTTATGCAATTACCCCTTGTATGCTTTATATACTTTTTTTAAATAAATCAAGATATATAAATTTTAATATATTATTATTATTAATTTGTTAAAAAGTAAAGATTAAAATATATTTTCAATTCTCTAGTTTCATATAAAATTTTAATTTGATCTATTAATTTTATAAAATATTTTTTTAATTTTTTAATTCTAACACTGTTAGTTTAAATAATTATTTTTTATCTCAAACATTATTATTTTAAAAAAATAAATTTAATATGTCAATATTTAAATATATTTTATTAATATTTAAAAATTTAATATAAAAATTTGTTAGGATAAATTTAATAATATTAAGATTATAGGACAAAAAAATATTTTATAAAATCAAAAGACTATAATGAAATCTTGTATAAAATTAAAATATTAAATGTATATTTTAGTTAAAAATAAATAATCTATAAAAGATAAATATGTCTTGATTTAATTTAAAAAATATTTTTTTGATAAAATTTTAAAAATATTTTTATAGGTACTAAGGCAAAGTATAATTGCAATAATAAATCCTAATATAATTATCGCATTAAATAGTTAATATCTAGTGTCGGCTGACGAACGTTTATAATAGTTCCAGGGGGAGAAAAAAGCAAGAAAGGAGGGGGAAAGTTCAAAGTTGAATTTAGTTTACAATGTCAATCGTTCCAAAAGAATGGAAAGAAATTTTGAACATTCAAACTTACAATTTTTCTTTGCTTAATGCTACAAAGGACGTTGCGCAATTGAATATCTGGTTTGATGGAGTCGTAAGGAAGCCTTCCGTGTACGAAACTGTTGAATTAGGAAGAAAGAAAGAAAAAGATCAGCTCATATTCAAGTCTAAGCTTACTAGTTTTGAAATTTCGAATTACTTTTAAAAAATAAAATTAAGGTTCTAACCTGTGGTAGTCTTCTGCACTAATATCATAGCCTAAAGCCTGAAACAAATGAATCAACAGAATTCATTTTTAGAATACAATCAAATCGAAGCTACAGAAAGAGAACAAGTGTATGAATGCGTATGAATTACTCGCAAGCCAGCGAGGGAGCTTCCGTAGGTCCTGAACAACTCGATTCGGAGACTTGACGCTTTGGTCTCGGGGAATCCACATTTCTCCACCAGAAAATCTGCATTTGGTAGGTATAATCTCTTAAATTATCCAATAAATCACAGTTCACACACGATTTCCAGACAGGGAGTTAAATGAACCAAGAGATTTTGCTGATTAATTAATTACCGTCAATGTTTTTCTTGAGCGATTCGCCTATTCCGGTGTTGGTAGGGTACAAAGTATCATCCAAATCTGTGATTCCGTACGAAATGAAATGAACAGATTTTAGTGAAGAAATTGGGGGGAAAATTGCAGGAGAGATGTAAGGGAAACCAGAAAGGAACTCACCGAAGAGGATGCAGTCAAAAGGAGAAACAGGGTTGCGAACAGATTTGCTGCAAGAATCCATGGCGGAAAAATGCCGATGATGACAAGGAAGAAGAAGAAGGAGAATAAGAAAACGACGTAGTATCAACTTATAAACGCAGGGAAGCCGACTGGGATTAAGTTTCGCCGAGGAAATTTGAGGAAAGCTGAGGAATAAATATATAGGGAAGAATAGCTATAGCTTGGAGAAATAATAATAATGTGTCCCATGTGGATCGGATACAGACCTGCTGAGTCAATGTTCACATCATTATCTTGGAATCCGACTAGACGTGGGGTCCACACGGGATGATATTTTTTAAAAGGGCAAAGATGGATTTTTCCCCTCATATATTTCCCAATGAACAGCCACTGCCCTAAAATATTTGTTAAAATAATTTTATCCCTGGTGATATGAAAATAAAATATTTTTATTTTTTTGTTAAAATTTTAATATTGATCTCAAACATTAATCGTTAAAAAATTTAACAAAAAGAGTAAAATATTTTATTTTAATAACTTTAAAAATAAAATTACTTTAATAAATATTTTAAAATATTGGATGCTCCTCAAAAAATAAATCAAAGAAAAAAATATACCTTCACCTTTTTTAAATAATATATTGCCTCAAATTGGTAAGGCAAGCCCACTAATAACCTTTTATAAATTTATTTTTATAAAATAAAAACATAACTTTTAAAAATATATTTATTTTAATATAATTTTAAATTTAGAATTATTAAAATTATATTTTTTACTTGAAAAATAATATTAAAAAATTTTATTTTTATGAAATTATTTTATATTTTAATATAGCAAAATATTTGGAACAATACTCTAATATTATATTGGCCATTTTGCATGAAAAACTGAAATATTAATTAGTATTTTTCCAGATCAACACTATTTACATTTTTGTAGAATTTTTCTTTACAAAATTCATGTTTTTAAATATTTGCAAATTTGAAAAATCATTTCAGACCATTTTAATAATTTAATTATATTTCTTTAATTTTGATTCGATAGTTAAAAATGTCATGTATAATTGGAGGGAGTAGCTCAATTTTTGAGTTCTATAATTCCATTAATATATTTCAATGCTTCATGCACTCATTTTATAAAAAATGTTATATGATCAGATGGCAAATTAGATCATCATGGATAAAAAATTGAACCAATCAATTATCAATAATTATTATATATAAGGACACTATATTATTGAAGTACTATTCTGTTATATTTTCGTGGAATAATTTGAAACACACAAAAGGAATATTCTGAAATGGAACGCCCAATGGATACAAGATGGAATTCGAATAAGTTAGTTAAGAATTTTTTATTAATGAGATAAGATGATGCACAGCTTTGGAAACTTTAAAAGATTTATCATTATTTAAGTAAAATATTTTTTAAAGGAAATTATTAATTATCTTTTGAATTATAAACTTGTAATTGTTATTATGTTTTTTTAAGACTGAGTATTTATTATTTCAAATACTTATAAAAGTGAAGTAATAGACCTTTTTAAATTTGATTTACTATATAATCATACACTCAAATGAAAATTTAGGGTGATGTAATAAAGCTAATATAAAATGAGAGCCAAGGTGGTGTTTAATGCAATGTTCTTGTCTTAAATTATAAAATATTTTAAAAAAAATTTTAATATTTTAAAATATACTCTTTTTATTAAAAAATGTAAAGTATTTTTGAAGAAGTTGAATGTTAAAAAATGTAAAATTTTTTTAATTTTTTGAGGTGTAATCATTGCCTTTTTTAAAAAATGCTCATATTGATAATAACTTTATATTTATTATAAGATATTTAATAGGGATAAATATAAAAAATAAGATTAATTTAAAAGTAGATAACTATTTTATTAAAAAATAAAATTTAATTAAAAATATCTTACATTTTTAAACAGAGAGAGTAAGACATTTTAATAAGGTTAAAGTTTTATTATATAAATTTATTTTAATATTATCATTTCTCTCTATTTTTAATATATTAAATAAAAATTTTTTTAAAAACTTATATTTATATTTTAAAAATAAAAACTATTAAGTTCATTTATTAAAATTTATTATATGTAAAAGTCAATTTAAAAATATTTTATAATTTAAAACTGAAAAATAATTTATTTTATTGAAAAATAAAAATATTACAATGATTCACGTGAAACAAAACAACAATATAGTAAATGTCGTGTCGTGACTACCAGAGACAATTTTTTTTATGACACGTGGACCTCGTGGAAAGCATCTTGTCAGCTGTCAGCTTTTCTTTTGCTTTGTGGGTTCGACCTTCCGTTACGCTCTTAATTGAGGAAGCCTCTTTTAACACGTGTCACCGTCTGGTATAATATGTAAGAATAATTGGTTTATTTACAATCAATTTTCTTCTATTATTTCTCGTTGGATTGTTGGACGCCAAATTTGCTAGTTTGAACACTTCTCTCGATCCACATTCGGATATTGATTAATCATCAATGTGTGTGTATATATATATAGAGAGAGAGAGAGAGAGTAAAATGTAAATAAACATAAGATCCATAATAGTAGTTAATAGATATTTTGTCAAAAAAATATAAACATAGGATCCATAATAAAAAAATGAGTGTGGGACTTATCATTAAAAAATTAAGATTAATGTGGGACCCATAATTTAATTAATAAAATTTATTTACATTAGATGAAAAATATCTATAAATAACACAAAATCCGTCTTATATGTAGAGTGTTTTGAGAGTAACTTAAATAATTTTTAAATAACATTTATTGCCTTTGGTCTTATTTATGAGACGAAAACAGAATATTTTTTTAATCCTACTTATGAATTATATTATTAAATTTTATCACAAATTTAAAATAGAATAAAAATATTTAAAATTAAGATAAAATAGAGGAGCGAGCAAAATATAAATTGTTCATTAAATCTTAATAAAACGTAAGTATACGTAAAACCCATGATAAAAAAAATTGAGTGTGGGGGCGTACTATTAGAAAATATGTGGGGTTACTGTGAAACTCATAATTTAATTAATAAAATTTATTTTCATATGAAAATTCTTTGTTATATTTAAAAATATTATTTTAATTTAATATATATGACTCAACTTTCAATTGAGTCGATGAAAATAAAAATAAAAATAAAAATTTATTTTTATATGAAGAAATTTTTTGTTGTATCTATTAATTTTAAAAGATATTTATATAAACTTAAAAAGCAGAAAAAAATTTATACAACTAAAATAAAATAAAAGGAGGACAATAAATTTTACTTTAAATTATAAGTACTTTAAAATTATTTTTAACTTTTTATAATTTTTTATTTTTATCCTTTATATGTTAAAAATGCACGAACATTAAATATAGTTATATTGTTAAAGATTAATTCATTCTACAAAATTCAACTCCCTTGTTAAATAATTAATTTTTTTTATTACTTATTTTTAATTCTTGCCATCAATCAAATATACATATTTTTCCTGAAAGTGTTTAAGAAATTAGATTAAGAATGTTTTCATTATTAATATTTAAAATTCTTCTAAATTTTAAGAATAGATGCGTACGTGGCAACTCATGTGATATCATAAGTAGGCTAAAAATAATATTAATACTTTTATAAAAATTTTATTCATATTTTTTTGTTATTGCTTATTAATTGTGCATATTTTTATTTTTTTAAAGGATACATTTTTATTTATGTGATTCCTCCTTTTTTTTTTTTGGCAAACTTATGTGCTATTCCTCCTTAAGTTGTGTTAATAATTAAATTATTTTTTTCATGCGCTATATATATATATATATATATCTCATTAATCTGATATGGCAAATTATGTTATAATAGAGTTATTAATGATAAGGATTAGGGACTTTGGAAAAAAATAAAAACTTAAAAAAATTAATTTTAAACATTTAAATATAAGGAAAGTTATGTGTAATTGCATTAAAGTTCAAGCAAAAAATATGTTCTTGAAATATATATATTTAATAAGAGCAAAGTTAAAAATTTATTAAATTTTAAAATAGAGTTAATAAATTTTAAAAATTTTTTAATACTGATAAAATATATTAAAAATATTTTATAAATAAAATTAGAAGAGTTAAGAAATATTTCACAAAGTAACGACGATAGTTTTTGGACAAAATTATTATTATTTTTATAACGTAATAATTATATCGCGCGCATTGGTTTTAAAAATTAAGTGAAATCAAGTCAAAAGTTATCATACAACTATCCGCGTTTTGTTGATCGCATTGATTAAATAAATAAATAAATAAATAAAAACATGTGTGTTCAAATTAATGTATATATTATACTGCACGCATTGGGATGTTCAGATAGCATTCTCCCTTCTATTTATTTTATTAGTTCCCTTTTAAGAAGGTAAGGTGGTTCACTTTTAAATTAGTAAATTGATACTGATATTTTATTTTAAATAAAATATTTAAATTATTCTTAAAATATAAAAAAGAGAGAAATAAAAAAATAATTTGATATAATTTATTTATCTTTTGAGGATTATGTTTATAATTTTACTATATTTTATTTTTTATATTTTTATTTTACTAATATTAATGAAATTATAAAAATAATTTATAAACAAGATTGAACGAAGTATATGATAGGGGTGATGTGCAATGTAACAGCGTGAACAATAAATATTTTTTTTATTAATGGTACATTTTTTTTTTTGGTTGCTCACATGTGTTTGTTTATTGAAATTGAATACTATGCAAGGCACGTTTGTCCTGAACTGAATGTGATCATATTTTTTATTGGATATTTGAACCTTAATTTATCAAGTGGTCATTTCAAGTCATGTAGACTGTAGATCAGAATGTAACGTCAAGGCGAAAAAAAGCCAAGAAATCAACACTCTTAAGGCCTACTTATTTTTTATTTTTAAAAATTATTTTTTAAAAAATTGAAAACTTTAAAAGCTTATTTAAATTAATGCTTTTGATTTAATTGTTTTTAAAACTGTTTTCATTTTTTATTTTTAAAAACAAAAAAGCAAAAAAAGTTTAAGTTGTTTATGTTTTATTTTTTTTATTTTCAAAATACATTACATTTAATTATTAAAAATTACAACTATCTTGATCAATTTTTATACAAAATCATTATCATTGAACTTCTATAATCATTATTATCAATTTTTTTTAAATTAACATAACCAAATAGAATTTTATTTTGTTTTGTTTTTTAAAAAATAAATTTAAAAACTATATTATATAATATTTTTTAAAAAAAAATGGGAATAGAAATAAACAGGTCCTTCGAGGCTTTTTTATTTTAATTTTTTTTTTTTTGAAAATAAAAAATTTTAAAAATTTGTTTTTATAAGTATTTTTCATTTAGTTATTTTTAAAATTATTTTCATTATTTTTCTTTAAAAACAAAAAAAATATAAATAAATTTAAATTGTTTTCACTTTATTTTTCTTATTTTTAAAATGCACTACATTTGATTATTGAAAATTATAATTATTTTGACCAATTTTTATAATTAACTATCATCATTAATTACCTATAACTATCATTATCAGTCTATTTTTTAATTCTAAAACTTTTTTTAATTGATATAACTAAACAATTTTCATTTTATTTTTTAAATAATTTTAAAAATTGTATGACAAAATAGTTTTAAAAAATAAAAAATGAGAACGGAAAAAAGCCTGGTAGATATGGGCGATAAGCCTGGTATTGGCATTCTAACAGCACTAATTAAACCTTGAGATTTGGCATGGCTTAATTACACGATTCATCAAGACTAATTTTAAAAAAGTTTTTTAAAAAAAAATTGAACGGTCTAAAATTTTAGGGGTGATCTTTAGAATTTGATTGACAAGTTGGGCTGTCACTATGATTTCCTCTCGTGTTTTGGGCTCTTTGGAGCTGTTGCTGGACAACTTTAATGTTTTTTTGGGCTGAAATGGTCTCTCTTGTTTTTTTTTTCACTTATAGTTGGGTTTTCTCCGTGTTGTTATTTGGATTTTGGAGTACCCAAGAATTCCTTAGATCATAAACGAGCCTCACATATCAAAAGTAAGGTGTATCGAAAAAGATTAGTCCTTCAATGATATGATAAATTAAAGTTTGAATTTTTAATAAAAGATGTGTTCACATTTGGCATCTTGAATAGGATCATCTCTAATAAAAAGATACCTATAAATTTTTTTAAAAAACAGAGAGCATCATACATACATACATACATACATATGTCATTATGTTGTTGAAAAAACGAGAAAGATAAGGGTACAGCTACCTCTAATTAAACTTGATAATGTTTGAATTTGACCAAATATATAATCATATAAAAAAGACAGAGAGAGAGAGAGAGAAGGGAATATCAGGTTGAAAGGGGAAAGTTTCTAATCGTAGTTAGTTGAATTACACTCATCTATTATGTTGTCATAACTCTATTGAAATAAAAATCTCACGTGTTTATATTAAAAATGCATGGCCATTACTAAACCAAGCCTAATTGCAATAAAGTTTTAAGACTTAGCGATGTAATTGTTATGAAAATAATGTGTAAAAATCAAAATAATATTTATAATTTATTATGGGGTCAAATAGTAAACATTATAAACTTAAGTTTATAAACAAGAGTCATGATTCTCATGTTGGCCATATTGTCAGAAATGTCATCTATTTACCCTTCTTAGGGACATTCAGCAATTCCATCAAATATAAACTGTCGCCCCTTTGCAAATTGTTGTGTTAAGGATTCTATCTCATTAGTCAAGAGTAGCTTCATTCTTGCTAATGGTAAGAATTCTTTTTCTGATATGCTTGGATCGGAGAATGTAGAAAAGGGAGAAAGTGAAACCTTTAGATGATTTTTCTATTTATTTTTCTCATTTCAAGTGTATTTTCAGTGGAAATTTTCTGACTTTAACATAAAGTAAGTTTTGGATTAATAGACTTGAATTTGAATTTAGATTTTAAATTTAAAATCTTATATTTAAATTTTATATATTTAAAATTATTTGTTTGGATAGTGCAAAATATTTCAAACAAAGAAGGGATATAAGTTGATTTGAAATGAAAACCGAAAATTGAAAGTGACAAATTATTTTTATTTTTTATTGGCGAGAGACAAGGACAATATATGAAAAAAGAGGTGAGAGTATAAGGGATACCAACAATAAAAATACAAAGAAAAGAGGATTGAAATTGTTGAAATTCCCAATAATTAGGGCCTATTTGGTTGGAGGTAAATGGAGGGGAGGGGAGGGGAGGGGTTCCATTTCTCTCATTTGGTTCAAAATTTTTGGAGGGGAGGGGAGCCAAAATTTTGGCTCCCCTCCCCTCTCCTTCCCTTATTTTGGCTCCCTCCAAATTGGGGTTTTTTGGAGGGAGAGTTAAATTTGTTGACTAATTTGTCCTCATTATTTTTATGAAATTACAATATTGCCCTTGAAACACAATAAAAGCATTTGACTCGTAGAAGCTCGCTGGCTTTCTTTTTCTTCCATAAGCTCGGTCTGTCTCGTCCTCCAGGGTCTTTTTCTCGGTCTATCGAAGCTCTCGGTCTATCGGAGCCCTCACCGTGCTTCTGGTTTGCCATGCTCGAAGCCCCCTGTGCGTCGTCCCATCAAGTCCTCCTCTTCGAAGCTCTCATTGCATTCTCAGGTTAGATTCTTCCTCACATTTGCTCGGTCTATCTTTTCTTTAAATTGATCTGCTTGATTTATGTTTGATTTGAGCTTCGTCCTGGTTTTCTTCTTCGTTCTTCGTTCTTTTCTTTCTGTTCGAACCCTGTTCTGAGATCTGTGGTTGTTCTGTTTTCTTCATCCCGCAAGATGTGTGGCTTTGATCTTTGTTCTGGTTGTTTTGTAAAAGTTGGGTCTGGTATGGGGCAATGATAGATAGAGATTTACAGGGAAATTTGTCTCCTTGGCTCCTTCGATCACAGATTGTTTTGTAAAAGTTGTGTCTGGTATGGGGCAATTGATGATATCTTTCTTCAAACCTTGTGATCATATTTTTTGTTTTCTTTTCACCAGAATCGATTTCCCAGACGCTGTAAATTATACTGATCTTTGAAACTCGGAAGTTGCAAGCTTTGCATGGTTAGAAGGTGTGGTTATTTAACTTTGTTTTAACATATATTGGGCTAGGGAGGGGCGGAGGTTCAATTGGGATGATCCAGTTGAATACTTTACTTTTAAGGTTTGGGCATTTCTTGTTGGGTATTATATTCCCTCCTCCTTTCCCCCTTGGCGTATGCGAGTTAATTTTTGTAAGGAGCCGCATGTCTTTCCAGAAAAAAATATATTTTTTCTATGTCATCGGAATGTAGAATTTTTTGGGGCATTGTAAGATGAATTATCTGGTCATCGCCCTTCAATTTGGTCTTGAAGAAATCTAATGTCATGTTCATTAGATATTATAATGTTCCTTTGTCAGTTTAGGGTGAATAGTTTCTAATAAAGTGGGATTTAGGATTCTTTTTCGAATTGTGATTAATTGTGATCCTGTCATTTATTTTTATGAGAGTATCCTTGTTGAGGTCGAGAAGTACCTAACCGTTCTGGTTGTTATTTTGAGATTTGTCAAGCAATTGCGTGTGTAATAAACAAAAACAATATGAAGAACCTCGACTTGTAATAACTTTTTTTAATTTTAAATTTGGAATTATTCTCTATGCATAGGGACGAACATGGCTAGAATTTTTCTGTCTTGACTGAGGATAAAACACTCTCTTGCTAGTCTTGTGCATGTGTGTGTAAGTCTCTGCTTGTCTCTATGTCTTTGTTTGCACTTTGTAGGGTACCTGATAGATAATCCTTTGTTGACTTAAGAGTATTATTTTGATACATATATTATTAACTAGATAGAGCTGTGAGACTCTAGTGTCTTTTAAATTAAGAAGGGTCTTTACTATTCGTGTTTTAGATGTGATGTTGCATTGAATATTGCTAGTTCTTTTGCTTCTATCTTGAGATTGCTAAGTTTGGGATCTGTAGAGTCACAAAAATATTGTTTCTTTGCTCGTACTATATATGATCATTGTTTTTTGCTGATGAAACTAAATCTTTTGCTCTTATTTATGATAATTTTGGCTTGTTTATTGATTTCCATTATTCTTCTTGATTGCTTTGTTAGATGAGCAAAGAATCTGAAAATCTTTTACTGGTGCAACATTGGTTTGAATTGCGTCGAAGAGCACTAGCTCTTCTTGCTTGTGTCCTTGTAAAAGTATGTGCAAGTGACATGTGTTCGAAAAAAATAAGTTACAGTTTGAGTGGCAAGAAAGAAATGGTACGTGATGAAATAATGAGCCAAATTAGTGATTATCCCTCTAGTCGAAATATTATTAGAATGACTCCTAAAACTTTTTTAGAATTATGTGGTATGTTAGAAAGAGAGGTTGGCCTGCAACCCACGTGATGGTCAAGTGTGGAAGAAATGGTTGCAAAAACTCTATATATATTGACATACAACGCAAAAAATCATAAAGTGAATTTTTGGTTTAGGCGTTTTGGTGAGACAATTAGTCGCCATTTTCATCAAGTTTTGATAGCTATCATTGACTTAGAAGAAAAATTTCTTGTTCAACCTAATGGCTCAACCATCCTTCCTGAAATTGAAAAAGATAAGAAATTCTTCCCATATTTTAAGGATTGTGTTGGTGCTATTGATGGAACACATATGCGAGTCAAGGTGCCTTCTTTAGATGCTCCTAGATACTGTGGTAGGAAGGAATTTCTGACACAGAACGTCTTAGCAACATGTACCTTTGATCTAAAGTTCACGTATGTGCTTCCTAGATGGGAAGGTACTGCATCTGACTCAAGAATCATTAAAAATGCATTAACACGAGAAAATAAGCTTATAATTCCTGAAGGTAAATATTTTACTAATTTTGATAAAGTTTATATTTGTGAATATAAAATTATTATAGTAATTATTTTCTTTTACGATAGGTAAATATTACCTTGTCGATGCTGGATTCATGTTAACAAGAGGATTTATAACACCTCACCGAAGAGTCCGTTATCATTTGAAAGAATATTCAAAATAGAATCCCCCCTAAATTATAGAGAGTTATTTAACCTTCGACATGCAAAGTTACGCAATGCCATTGAACGTGCTTTTGGTGTTTTGAAAAAAAGATTTTCCATTCTATCCAATGTAACTGAACCTACATATGGAATCAAAGCACAAAAAATGATAATATATGTATGTTGCATTCTTCATAACTTCCTTGTGAGTATGGACCCTATTGAAGATCTTTTAGAGGAAGTTGATGCTGTTCTTGCAAGAGAAAGCCATTCAAATGATAATAACCATGCTCAAAGAGGGGACAATAATAAGGCTGCTCGAGGTGAACTTATTAGAGAAAATATAGCCAATTAGATGTGGGCAGATTATCAGGAACATCTGGCTACTCTTGAGGATGAACTTGATGATTGAATTTTGATTTCTCAATAAGTTAGACTCTATTGTATCATTATAGACATTTAAATATGTTGTATTATTACATTAACTTATATTGAGTTTAATTGAGGTTTGATCAGATATTAAAATTTGTTGTTTATTGACTTTTATTTGTTTTGTATTATTTGTTTAGTTTGCTATTGAAATTTGATTAGCTTTTCATATTGGGATTGGTATTATGTGATTATATTGTTATGTGATAGGATGGCACCAAACAATAATAAGGAGATTGTGAATTGGACAAGATTAATGGATGATGCCCTCGTTGATGCTTTCATGAATGAATATAATGAAGGTCACAAAGTTAATGGCACTTTTACAACTACAGCGTATGATAACATATGTAAATATTTGAGTGCTTTATTCGGTAAACAAATTGACAAGGAAAATGTGAAAAATCGATGGAAGACTTTAAAGAGAAACTTTTCATATGTTTATGACATTTTCAAAAGTTTGAGTGGGTTCGCTTGGAATTCAATAATTCAAGTATGGGATGCTGAGCCTGAAGTTTAGGATGCATTAATTGAGGTAAATTTCTTACATATGCATTGATTATATTATTATTTGAAAATGAAAAAGTGTGCATTTGCAATTGAATTGCTTTTGTAATTTCCCTTGTTTCAAGCTAAACCTAAAGCAGCATTGTGGAGAACTACTCCTTTTCCAAACTATAAAAAAAATGATGATATTATATGGAGTAGATAGAGCTAATGGACATGAGAGTGAGACAGCTCGTGAGTGCAGAAAGAGGCGTCGTTCTCAGGAAGAAGTCACTGAAACCGTCAATATGACATTAACAATATTGTCTCACAAAATAGAGCCATAATTAATGTTGAGCTTGATGGACAAGAAATCTCACCGGGACAAGAAAACTCACCTGACCAAGAGCACTCACCTACTATTAATAGTGCATGTAGTAAGAAGACAAAGAGGGTGTCTAAGGAAAAGGAGGCTAGTCTAAATGAGTTGACGGGAGTAGTGTTAGCTGTGGCTGAGGCAATTCAATAAGGAAATGTGATGATAGGACAAAGTCTCAAGAAGGTGCCACAATTGTCAGGTGAAGAAATTTGAAAAATGCTTGAAGAGTGTGGGATTGATGCTGCAAGATTACCTGGCAAATATTAGTTTCTTATGGCTGATAATGATAGGCTTAGAGTAGCAACTCAATGTCCAGCACCAGTACGGAAGGATGTAATAATGAGGATGTTTTATAGTTTTAATTAGATGATGACTTTTATTGATAATTTTTGTATATTTTGTTAGCTAGATGTCAAAATGTGATTCTTAAGTATGATCAATATATTTTGTATATTTTGTTATTAATGATGACGATTGTTGCTTAATTATTATTAAGGACTAGCATTGTCTTGTGCAATTACTGAGGGTATAAAATCATTAGTTTCATTGATTTTTTCACAAAGTATTGTTTAATATTTAGATTAATTTACTAATAAAATTATTTAATAGTATTATTTAATTTACTTATTCGGGGTGAAGAAGTAAAAAAAAATTGACAAGATTCGGGTAATTTAAAAAAAAAATTATACAATTTGAGTTTATATATAAAATAGATTTGTGTGATAAAATGTTAAAAAATATATATTATTGTACAAGGGTATAATAATAATTTAATTATTACCTCCCCTCCCCTCCCCTCCCCTCCCCTCCTAAACCAAACAAAGGATTATTAAAAACTCCTCCCCTCCCTTCCCTTCTAATCAAACCAAATAAGGTATCTTAAAAACCCTCCCCTCCCCTTCCCTCCATCCCCTCCCCTCCCCTCATCTCAAACCAAACATAGCCTTAGAGTACAGAAAAAATTTAAAATTATAGAGAAATTATAAAAAGAAGTGAGATTAAATTTAGATAAAATCTAAATCTATAAATTTTTCAAGTATCAAATGATAAATTGATTCAAATTTAAATCCTCAATTAGATTAACCCTTTCCAACCCATGATTCCATGCTTCTCAACCCAAAGTATATATATATATATACACATATATTTGGGAGTCAAGACCATAGAGAATGAAATGAGAAACTCAGATAGTGAAATGATGATAATTTGCCTCATCCTTGTTTGGACACTCAACTAAAAAATACAACAGAATTTGGACTACTTTCCAAGGTTTAAAGCATATATTTAAAAACCCTTCATTATTTTTTATTCTTTATCCCCGTCCAAAGAAAGGAAAAGAAAAAAGCACATCTAAAAGGCACCATATTAAGGCAAGAGATGCATCAAGGATGATAAGAGTTGGGGGGCGGGGGAATAGAAGCTTTACTTAACAAACCATAAGCCTTTTTCCCTTCGTTAGGTGGCCTTACCATATTCAGAATATTGATAGATACAGACACAATGAGCATATTGAAGGAAACAAAGTAGGACCCAGCTTGTTTTCCATTAACAACATTATACCTTTGCAGGTTAAGTACACACCAGAGAGCAAAAGAAAAAAGGAAAAGGAAAACATTATAATGACAAGACAAAACTCTTAAAAGAACTTTTTCCCCCCACTAGCATTCTCTCTGTCTTTCTTTGCTTTACTTATTTAGTGTTTCTTCTCAAGCTTGATTACGCTTGCCGTGCCCATAGATGAACCTTTCAGCTCCCTCTGTGTATACATGAGTCTCGTTATCTAGCCTGCAAAACAGGCCTTCTAAAATCAGATGAAAATTGAACATTTCCAACCCAAGAGCTTAATGATAAATGAAAATGTTGAAGGAATGAGATCCTGACATATCACCATCCTTTATTCTTTTGGAAGAGAAAGTGATACACACAGAAGTGCATGTGAATTCACTTACTTTCTCTATTTCGATTTGCATGCTTATCATGCATCTTCTTGTTTCTGAATACTGAGGATTCAAATCCAAACATATAACCATGTTTCAAAATATAAGGCATTTACACTTACGAGTTGCGAACAGTTTTGCTCAGAGTGGAGGCAGACAAAAATGTCTTTCCATCAAGATATCTGTTTTCTCCCTTTATCCTCTGTTTCATTCTGAGGTCTAGATCTTCAGCACTCAGGTTTATTGGAGAGTCTGAAGCCTGGTGTGGTCCAAAAATAACAAAGAAACATTCTTAGAAGTTACGTTAACAAATCTGCATAAAGTGAATCAGCCAAGTTCTGAAGTACCCTAGTTATCCGCAATTTTGAACCCAAAATAGTTTGCAGATTATAATTTGAAGTAACCTTAAATATCTTTTTGAAACTCGAAGAACTTCATCATTTGTTTTCGGGGTCTTTTTCTTAACACATATAGCATGAAATGAAAAGCTGACAAGCTTAATTGTTGGATATATTACCATGACCCATCCCCAAATATCAGCATAAGAAGGGATATGAGCAGAATAAGGCACAACATCTGCAAGAAGGGGGGGGGGGAGAGAGAAGTTTAGTGTAGGAATAAGAAGTTAAGGAGGAAATAAAATTATATTCCCTTAGACTTACAGGGTTACTTACACTTGAAAACTTGCCTCAAAGTGTTGTAGATGCATGAGAAAACTTCAGTATGGCTAAATATCCCAGCTGGTCCTGCCTGCATAAGAATAAAACTCAAATAAGTTCATTTTATACTTTAGCTTTCACCAAGAACTTTCTTTTTTTCACGTGTGCTAACATTTCACACAGGTTTCTCACTTCCACGTACCTGAGTCACGAATATACCATCCTGCTTCATCTTAGGCTTAACAGTGAACTCATAGAAGGACTTGGTGTAAAGTTTATAACAAGGACCTCCTTCTATTGGATCTGCCAGATCACCTATTATAACATCATAGCTCTCTTTTCTTGCTTCAAGCTCAGTCCTGCAATATACCACATATTATATCAGCCATGAATTGCTCAAGTATGTTACAGACTACTAATCTACTATGATTGTGAATAATCCAACAAGCATGAGGTACTGATAGTTTGTCAATTAGACCTGGCATCATTGATGATGATTTCGAGTCTTTGATCGCGGAATGCTTCCTTGTTTACAAGTAGGTGTGATTTGCAGAATTCCACTACCTCCTGCTCCAGTAATCATCGACACATGGATTTGAACCAGTTAAATTAAAAAAAAAAATCCTTAAAAAAAATCCTTATAAAATAAGATCAGAAAATAGAGAAAAACATTCGCATATCTAGAAGATTATATCGACACCTCATCTATATCACACATCACAACTTTGTCTATGGTCTTGTGCCTCAGTAATTCCCTTGCAGTTGATCCTTCTCCCCCTCCCATAATAAAAACATTCTTTGGACTAAAGCACATAATGGAGACATATTAATAAAACATTCAAATGTTATTGAAATCCTTCAAGATATTATCATTAAAGAGAGAAAAGAAAATTTACTTGGGATGATGAAGAAGAGCTGGATGAACCAGACATTCATGGTAAATAAATTCATCTATCTCTGCACTCTGAAGCTTTCCATCAATCACCAATGCCTGTAGGAGAGAGAACACAAACGTGTTAGACCATGTCACATAAAAAATAATTAATCTCATTCAATTTTTTACAACTAACATTCTAGAATCTGATCGTCTGCTTTGTAACTGTATATGGTACCTTCAAAAAGATAGACTTTAAGAAAAAAATATAGCAAGTGCAGAGAGAAAAAGTAAACTCTACATAGTCATATTCTTTCATACTATAATCTTTCTAAATGCTAATTATATGACTACAAAAGATCCAATTTAAAATATTCTATTGTAGATTTGAACCTTTCCAAAGGGCTTAGTGTCCAGCAGGGCAATGTCTTGGTACTGGCTAGCTCCTGTATGCAATATACTGCAGCAACAAAAGACGGAAAGTGTTATAGTATTTTTATCAAACGGTTGGAAGTGATAAACTTTGTACCAAAAAGTGCAAGCCTAATTTTCATTTCATAGTATCTGTTGTCTGCCTTTTTCATGGCCACAGGCAAAAAGAGCTTTCAACTTTCAGGGATAACATTACTTTTTCCTAAGCAAGAACTTGGAATGTCCTAAATGTCTGTCTGTGATATACAGCCAAGCATACTTTAAACCCATTGGCCGTTGTACTTTAGTTATTTAAACATTTATGTAAGTTTTTGTCTCTCAAACCCCATGAACAGCTCTTGTCTTGCTTCTTGCAGATCATCATGTATCACCAAACAAAGTATTGACAGTAAATAAAGAAGAATGGTCAAGACTCATATCTCTCAGAGACAACAAAGACAGATTCTAACTCAGCAATATAATGGGCAGACTGGTTTGGATTCTGATCTCAAAAAGGTAACAAGAAATGCAAAACACAATATAAGAGTGGGTGAGTGTATGTACCTTTTGAGAGCAAAACACCATCTTAAGTTCTCTTCAATCTCTTCTTCATACCAACAGCTCTTTCTGTAACCATTAAGCGAATGGTTTTTGCCGTTGACTCCATTTCCATTAGCATTAATCCCATTGGAGAAAGCTATATCACCCATCTTCTTTCCTTGAGAAACTCAAGAGAAGCTTAAGGGAGATTGAGAGAGAGAGAGAGAGAGAGAGAGAGATGTTGTAGTGGCGAAGTGTGGAGAAGAGAAGGGAGCCAGTAGAGAATATATAAGAAGAACAAGGAAGAGAGAGTAATGAAAAGGGAGAATGATGATGGGTTTGAGTTGGCAATGGAATTAGCTTGGGAATATCTTTGCTAAAGTGGCCGTGTAGATCTTCCTGGGTTTTCGTAAAGTAGAATACAAAGAAAGCTCTGTCGCGATTTGTGAGGCTGATTTCATGATCTGGGTTTTTGTTTATGCCCCATTTTTTGAATTTATCATTGCTCATACATGCTGCAACAACCATCATAATTTCATTTCCGTTTTCGTTTATTATTTCTTTTTCCTCCACACAAATATATTTTCATATTCTTTAAAATTTTAAGACTCATAGAATGTGGTGGATAACTCCTTGTAACATTTTTAACCGCCAAAAAACAAACAAAAAAACAGAAAAGGCAATTATTAGTGGTTACTCCCTCCACAGCCTCCACAATAAAAAGCACGGATAATTGTTTAAAAAGATTACTTAAATCTTTAATTTTTTTAAAAGTTTTATGTTTTTTACAATTACTCTCCCTGTTGAAAAATATAAAATATTTTTTATTTGATCTCATTTCTAATAAAATAATTACTTATTTTCAAATTAACCCTATATTTATATATTCACCCTTATTTAATAAGGTGTTTCACCTTAAAATAAATATAAAGTATTTATTTAATATGGATACTTTAAAAAAAAGATAACAATTATATCTTGAAAGACTATAAATATTTTACATTTTTTAACATATATCCTTTCAAAAAATATTTTATATTTTTTAACAAAAAGAATGTACTCTTGTTAAATACTTTATATAAGTGTCTTAATTATCACAATTGAAATTTCAATACTTATTTTTCTTCAAAAATAATAATAAATAAAGTAAAAGTATAGTTGAAAAAATAATTATAAAAAAATTACCCAATATTCTATATTTCAAACTAAACAAACCTTATGGAAGATATCATATGTTGTGATTCCAATAGAATAAAGTCTTAAAACTATCCAATTCTTTCAAATTATGCCCCATGTAGGTGCTATATATTAATGATTTGCTCCACCATAAATTACTTTTTAAGTAATTTTTCTCATTTCTTGAGCGTATATTCCCATGAAATTTCGCAAAATGTCTTTTAATAAAATCAATTCTTCTAAAACACATCTAATACTTCACATAAAGAAATGCAATTTATACGTCAAAATATTGATTAAGTTGTCAAACTTGCTTTTATTTAATGCGTTGAATTAGAGTACATAAACTCATAAGAGGGGGGAAATATTGATAAATGTTATTTCGAACTTCCAAAACATCTTAAACATTCACAATAGAAATCAATTGATGTTTGATTTAGTTAATGATATGAGAAAGCTCGTTATGCATAATGGGAAGGTTACTTATGAGTGTGCGTGTAAGAAAGCTCATAAATTCATAATTGAATTGTCTATATTTAAACAGTTATAACTCCTTATGCTAAAAATCAACACCAGTTGATAGTGTTTTAAAAGTCAAACCCAAAGATGAATTAAAAAAGTTAACAGTTCACGATCTTCATAATTTAACTAGTTAAATCAATAGTTGAATATGTGATATAATAATTAAATAAAATTTAATATTCAAATGAAAAATTGATCCAACCATTCTAACTTTAATTTTTCTCTACGTTTTCAAGAACAGTTTAAGTTAAAACAAGTTAATTCAAGTCGATTGTTAAAATGGGTGAAATGATTGAACCAAATTGTTTTCTTCTCCTCACAATTGTACAAGTAGTCCAGCTGAAAACATGGCAAATTGGTTGCCAATTTTAGTTGTAAATATAAAAAAGAAAAGGGTTGTAATGAACAGGTGACAGATGGCATGGGCATGTGAAGAGAGAGAGAGAATGATGAGGGAGAAGAAGGTGGAGATGAAAAGTAATAGTGGGAATATAGAGAAACGGGGAGTAAGAGAAGATAATGATGGAGGGAGTGACAAATACCGAAGATTAAGGCTTCTTGTTATTGCTATTTGTTTTTTTTTATATGGATGAAATAAATAAAAATGATAAATGTTTGTGTATTGAATTGAGAGAGAAAGAGAGACAGAAGGGAAGCGTGCAGGGAAGATCATGATGTATATTCTATTTGCTGCCCCAAAAAGGCATCGCACCAAGGCTGCGCGTGCTTCCCCATTATCCCTCATCATCGCTCTCACCTTCCTTAACAGTCACTTACACCCCATTCCCTGCAAGCTACACGACAATATAATACCACATCTTCTATACATTAAAATCATATTCCCTCCCATTTAAAAACTTTTAAAAATTGAATAAAATAAAATAAAATAAAATAATTTATTAAATAAAAATAAATATATAACAATAAAATTAATTTAAAAATAATTAATTATTTTATTTGGATGTAAAATTTAATTAAAAATATCTTATATTTTTTAACTAAAAAAGTATATATTAATAAAATTTATTAAATATATTTTATAATTTTATTTTTTAAAAAAATAGAAACTTTTAAAATATTTTTCATTTAATACCGTTTCTTTTTTTTTTTTTACAAAATGTTTAAGTAAGTTAAGTTTCAAAAACTTGTCATAATTAGGGCATGCATTCAAGCATAAAGAGCATGTACAGGTCACTCATCAATAAAGTTTTTGCATCGCTAGTGAGATTTTGTTGCATAACCTGACGATTTATAAGTTAAATTATTACCAACTTAACCAATATTTGTTCGTTCATTTAATATTTCATTTATGAAATAATATTAAAAAAAAGAATATATGAAAATAATAATATTAAAAAATTTATTAATAAAATTTTATTTTTATTAAAATATCTTATGTTTTGAAATGTTGAAATTGTTCAAGAGTGTCTAACTATCTTACCAAAATCTAGAAAAGTGGTTAATTTATTAGCTTTGTTAAAAAAAAAAGAATAGAATTTTAATTTTACCCCTAGTTGAATAATTTTTTTTTTCAAATTTAGATAGTATATCAAGGATTCATAAAATAACTAAACTTAAACGGTTGAAATTTGATATAAATTATTTAGAATTAGAATTAGGAGAAGGGACTGTATGTATTGTAATATATATTTAATGTTAAATGGTTGTAATATTTTTAAATAATAATATTTAAATTATTATATATTATAATATTCGTATTTTAATAAGATATTACTAATATAAATATAATATTTTTAATGACTTGTCGTTACTAGCGTGGTTGTCAGTAATGGTAATATGATAAATACTTGCAGTCTGAGCAGTTAAAATGATAATTTGATCTTTTATATGAGTAAAAAATAGAATTATTTTTTAAATTCATTTATAATCTATGAAACTTAATTGATATGAGTTTTCTCATATGATACTTGTTTATAATTTTTTGACTTTTTTTCTTATGATTTTAAAGTTATGTTATGCAATTTTATGATCAATTATTGGGAAAAAGTTCATATTTATTAATATTTTGGACAATATTACATATTTTTAAATGTTAAAAATATTGAAATAAAAAGTTAAAGGTCTCGAATGTTTTTTAAACTTATAATTTAATGGTAAAATTGTCCTAAATCTATTGATTAATTAGACTAAAGTTTGTTAACTTTGAATCATTGTTATTTGACCCCCAACCCATCTTCCATCAATCTATTCCCTTTTTTCTTCCTCACTATTCGTCTATTTTTTTTTTTTTTACATGTCTTTATGTGTAGATCAGAGTGACCTATTCTTAGGCTAATAAATTTGGATATTGACCAACCTCCCAACCTAGAAATAGAGGATTTAGAATTTTAGGTAGCATGAATAATATAAATCCACTCACTTATAAGTATCATGCGTAACACAATAAATATAAGTTTATATCAATATACATTTTTTTAATTATTCTTCAAAAGTGCCCAAATTATTTATAGATATTTAAAAATATATTGTGTTTTAATTACTTAAAGATTAACATTATTACAACACAAATAATTTAAAACAGTGACAGAAGTGGCATATGCACTCCCTTAATTTGAAAGAAATTAAGTTTGCTATTTTACCTTTCTAACCACAAAATTTTATACCCCTTGAAATTTAAATTTTTTTGTGAATATTTTAACTTAAATTCAGTTTTAAATTTACTAAATTCAAAACTCTAATATGATTTTTAAAAAAGAATATACTTATTTATTTTATTTTTTAAGTTTCTACTTAACGACTACAAATTTTTAGATTTTTATATATAAAATAATATTAAAAATTAGTGATTTATATGAAAAAAATATTTTTAATAGTATTTGACAATAAATAATAAACAATTATAAAATATATGATTATTTTTAAAAATACTAAATAATTATTTTTAAATAATTATTTTTAAAATTAATTTACACCTCTTGATACAGGGTCCTAGTTTTACCATTGGTTTAAATTATTTAGTATTCTTTAGAAAATAATTCAACTACAAAGATAATTTTACCTCAAATTTATTTAACATAATAAGTGACATTTTCAATCAGACTTAAGTCTTAATTAATATTTTTAACATTCAACTTTAAAGTATTTAATGTCAGGAAGAAATATATTATATTTTAATTATTTTAGAAATGAAATTACTAAAATAAAAAGTTTTAGACATTGGCATTTTATGATTTTCTATTGATGCAATATTGACGTTGTTTATTGGCTAAATTTCACAAATCTCCCCTCAAATTTGACCCATTATGCAAATAACATTTTGATATTTATAACTTGATAAAACAGACCTCCTAAATTTTTAAATTTGTGAAAAGTGAAATAACCCAGAGTAACATTGTTTTTAACCCTCAGCCATAAAAGGTGTAATTGTTAAAATTTAAATTAAAGTTGCAAACAAAGAAAGTAAAATTGTTAATACAAGAAGTGTAATTATTAGCTTAGTTATGCAGTAACAAATATGCTTCATATCTCAACAATTCTAGTTTAGATATTAACATCACACAGCGTCATAACTTTAGTTTAGTCATATAATAATAATTGTTCTTCTTATATTAATAATATTATCTTTGTTATTAACAACTTCAATTTAAGTTTTAATAAATACGTTTTTTAATTAATTTGTAGAGGGCTGTAAATATAATTTCATAAAAAATAATTTCAGATAAATATTTCAGAA